CCTCTACGGCGTCAAACCATGCCGCGCGCAAGCAAGTGGCCTTCTCTGCTGCGAGAGCGCCATTGTTCTGGATGGCCGCATTGAGACGGTTGGCTACGTCTACCGGGGACTCCCACAGCCCTGCGTGCTGCGCGACGCGCAGCACTTAACGCGGCTCGACGCTTGTCGCGCTGCCACCACGCAGTGCACGAAGCCGCCGCGCGCAGACGAGTTTCTGCGCGAGGCCCACGCTCTACAGCGTAAATGGCGCCGTGCTGCTCGCTCACAAAAGCACCGTATGGAGACCTCCCGCTCTATTTCAATTGCTCAAGTGGAGCACCTTGGCAGCGCAGGACCCAGCGACGTCTTGCAGGCCTCGCAGCGGCTTCGCCACCAATGCGGCTAAACGCGCGTAGACTGCAGGCGCTCCAGCACTGCCTGCGTTGCTGCCTCCAGCTGTTGCCGGTGCGTGGCAACTATGGGGAACAGCAAGCCGGTGGCTTCGGACAATTTGAACGTTGCCGCAGCGCGGCGAAGCTCGCTGCGTCAAGGTGGACGGCGTGGACCCCTGCACGTGGCGCGAGGACTACTACACGTGGCGCGAGGCCTCCGTCGCTCACACCGCCGGCCAGCCCGACTCCATGGACACCACGGCTGAAGTCGCGTCCAGCTCGCAGGACTTGACGCTATGTTGCCTGCATCTGCGTAGTTCGCTTATTGCGTTTGCTTCTGTTTAGGCACCCTTGCTTGCGCAGTGTCGGCCGCTAACCTTGCGGGAGGCCTCGCTGGTCGCTTTTGCGTTTGCCTTCGTTGCGTTTCCCTTGTCAGCTGCAAGTTTGCAGGATGCCAGTGGACTCTTCGCGCTCTTGGCCGAGTCCTTGCTGATGGGCCGCCTGAACCTGAAGGGCGGCTCGGCTGATGCGCCTCTTGCGGACCTCATGGCCAGCGCTGGCCTTCGCGTGGAGGAGGGCTTGCGTGCCACCCAAAACGAAGATCCATGAAGATTCATGAAGCTCCCAGCCTCCGGCCTGCAGTCTCCAGTTTCCAGTCTGCGATCCTCCGTCTGCAGTCTCCAGTCTATTGTCGCAGTTTCCAGTCTGCGTTTCCAGTCTGCAGACTCCAGCCTGCACTTTGCAGCCTCCGGCCTGCAGCTTGCAATTTCCAGGCTGCGGTCTTTGAATCTCATTGTTTCTTCGCCTGATCTTTTTTCGGGAGCCCTTTCAAAAGGACCAGCAATTGCTTCACCAGCCTCACCCTGTCGAAGAATGCCTTTAACAACCAAAATTTGTATAAATAGAATCATTGACTTCATGGCCTTCATTGACTTCTTGGGCGTGGCCTTCATTGCCTATGGGAGAGGCCTTCATGGGCAGGAAGGTTTGGGAGCTTCATGAATCTTCATGGATCTTCATGGTCGGTAGCAAGAACCCATACAAGCAAGAACTAGACGCAAGAACTGTGAAGCACGCTTGGCTGAGAAGGCAGCTGCGTCGCATTTAGCTGGCAACAGAACATCAAGCCACGCAAGTGCCAGGCAATGCGTGTAAATGACTCTTCCACTGTTGGGCTGACGAACCTCGACGTGTTGCAAAAACGAAACAAATTGTTCATTCACCCTGCCGCCAACAAGTAAAAACTCAAAAGCCTAAGTTTACTCCATTTGGATCTTAAGGGTTAGGCGCGCAAGATTTGCTTGGGAACTGGCGCAGTTGCACCCAGAAGATGGGGCAGGTAGCAGGTGCTGAGCAAGCGCCGCGTTAACCTTTTCAAACCTTTGGTGCCAGCAAGCGGCCGCTCTCCACTTGTGGTTTGAGCTCAGGGTGCCGAACCTGCCACCCAGCGAGGTTCCGGGCTGGACAACATCTGGGGCTCCGTGCCACGGCGCCGACTTCGCGCGGTGGTTCGCAGGAGGTTCTCAGACGCAGCGCTTACGAAGCGCCGTTTCCGGGGTGCTTTTCAGCATCATCTCTTAACAGCGCGTTTCCAGCACCGTTCCTGGGGCACTTCCGCAGCACCTCGTCATCTTATAACAGCGCTTTTGCAGCACCGTTTGGGCAAAACGTCCAAAGCCATCACGCTGAATGATGGAGGCGCTCCTTTCTCTTTGCTTTTTCTTTTTCTTTCCTTTTCCTGTTTGGTTTCGGCTGCCCTGTGCGTTCCCCCTTTCGGGGTGTGTGTGTGCTCTTTGTTCCTGAAGAATCTGTCGCTTTTCTTTTCTTTTCCTTTGCCAACCTCTGGAGTCAGCCTGCGCCGGCGAACCTGCCCCTGTTGGTAGTACCATGTGGTGGTGACGCAGGCTCTGAGGAGTAGCCACCACATGGGAACTCATCGGGAGGGTGAGCTGACGAAACTCCCCTTTTTCCATTGTTTCTTTATTTCTCTCTTTCCTTTTTTCTTGTTTTCTTTCTTCTTCTTTTTTTCCTTTCTTTCTTTCTTTCTTTCTTTCTTTCTTTTCCGTTTGCACAAAAAAAGGATGCGCTTCAAGCGCTTGCTGTATCTCCCATCAAGTCTGCCTATGCCAGTGTGACGCAAGCCGCGAGCCAGGGCGTGAGAAATCCTCAAAACGGGTGCCCAGGCAAGCGACCAATACCCTCTTCAAAACGAGCGAATACCAGGATGACGACAACAACTCATGCCCGAATTTTTCTTTCTCCCGAAAGCATGGCGAAGGGTTCTTCCGCTAAAGTCGTTGCGTTCTGCACAGTTCAACTGCATGGGAAAGTAGACAGTGAAATGCGTAGAGGCATGCATAGGCATGCATTGGGACAGCGCACAGCGAAATGCACAGAGGCATGCATAGGGCAAGCGCAGAGTGAAATGCACAGAGGCATGCATAGGGCAAGTGCAGAGTGAAGCGCGTAGATGCATGCGCAGGGAAAGAAGACAGTGTGTTGCATAGAGGCATGCGCAGGGAATATAGACAGTGAAATGCATAGAGGCGCGCGCAGGGAAAGTAGACAGTGAAACGCATCGGGGCATGCGTAGGGAAGTGCGCAGTGAAATGCGTAGCGATCTTGCGTTCCTTCTCGCACGAGCGTAGCTTGCACGAGGAAACCTGCACGCTTTCTTTAAGGTACTAAGGTGGCGCTGTGGGACCAAGCGCACTCTGCGAAAATGAGACTCTCTCAGGGATCGGCGTTGTTGATGTGCAAAAACTGGGTTTTTTTGCAATTCTCGCCATGCGCGCGCGCGCGACCCTCTGCAGGTCGAGGTGCAAAAGCTGAGGGCTTGTTGCGACTCTTGCGGTGCCCGCGCGGCCCTCTGCGGGGATCGGCGTGGTGTATGTCGACGACGTCAATTTGCAACGGTGACGTTCGGAGATTCAATGAAAGCTTGGAAGCCATTGGGACGATACCATCCGTGATGCGCAACCGAATTCCGCCTCGCTATCAACACCAAGCCGAGGTGTGCGTCTTGAACCGCTTGGGAACAAATGCATGGAGTGCCTGTGCAGTTTACAGCCAATACTCGGAAACGCGAGGTTTCATGGTCTGCAGTGCTGAGAGATGACGAGAGGCAGCGATGCATATCCAAAGCTCTTTGTCGAGTCCTACGCCAGAACACTGGCCAGGGCATGACCAACATCAGCAACGATTCAGATGTGACGCGGGTGGTTGGGTCGACATAGATGATACTACATTGCGATCAGATGGGCCCGCAACAACTGAGCATACCTGAGAGGACAGGGCCACCGTTTGAACAGGGAAGGAACTGAAGCAACGGGGTTGGAAGGACCAGGTCATCGAGAACGCACACTAAGCGTACAAGGGTTGGATTCAGCCGTGGTGCGTTCGGGCGACGGCTGGTCGCTCTGACTTCGGCTCGCCGCAAGCGCTACGCAACAGGACAACACCGAAAACGGGCGACAAGGTTGGCGGCGCGTTCTACATTACACATGTGAGCTTCCTAGCGAAGACCGTCAGCAGTGGTCTAGCAGCCGGCGGGAAGGGACACGAGCCGTTTTTTGCTACGAAAAGGCGAGTCACACCTGCGTCGGAGGTTGGCGACATGTTGCTTGCTACTCTTGACTCCCTCAGCATCGTATTCCGTTCTGCAAAGTAAGAGCAACCTGGAGGTCAAGAAATTCCCCGGCGCAGGATGCGCAGGGAATAGACAGCGGGACAGCCGACAACCGACAATTCCCACCACTTAGGCTACAAAAGTTGCACTTCAAGTTGGCCGCCCGAGAGGCTGGTCGCATGCCTGCGGGTGTGCCTGTAATTGCCGGCGCATGAGCCTTGGGAACAAGTTGTACCACCGACATCTCCCAATATGCTCGAGACAGCTCAAAGATGTGGATACGCTGCTGGTCAACTAGCGCATGAAGAAAGAGATTGAGTTGCCCCACAGACACGCCGACATTGTGAGAGGGAGTAGGCGTTCGCAGGAAGAACGCGGCGTGCAATTTTTAATGTGGCCTAGAAATCGTAATGATTCTAACATGGGAGATGGTTGTCAACGCAGAGCTGCACAAGGCTTTACCTTTTATGGCCTACAGCTGGATTTGTGCTGGAATTTTGGCATTTGATATGATCACTCTGCATTGGCCCAGATCAACGCAGTACTAGTTCCTTGTGCAATTACATCTCTGTTTCTGATGATGATTTGCATTTCCTCACCGGCCATGTTCGATATCGATGAGTGGCATTCCAACGCATCCTGCGGTTGCCCAGATCTCTGTCTATTTGCACGGCCCAACATGATTTGTGGATGGCCTGAAGTGTTGCGCAGAGCGAATGGTAATCGCTAGTTCTATAGCTCATTGGTCAAGCCCACCACACTGAAGATTCCAGTCATGTGTGGTGCATTGCTTTTATTGACAGCGCGGTCCGCGGTTGGCCCGGCAATGTCTTTTCAAAATAGGAAAGAAGCGTAAACTTTTGTTTGTCTGAAAGGCAGTAAGCGCAGTTTGGACTCGCGTCTGTTTAACCTCTACTGTTGTATGGGGCTGGATGGTCACGTTTTTTGCTCCTGCAAGAACTCTGAACTCGACACATGCACGAACACGCCGCCCCTGAGAGGCGATGGGTTGAGACGGCTTCGCCATCTGAACGTTGCCTGAGCGCAACCCTTGCAGGTGCTAGAAATGCAGCACGCGGAGCGTTTTGGTCGCCGGCGCAGCATGGCCATTCCTTGGATGCTCGGGAGTGGCAGCGTGGATAAGCAAGCACAGTTGTTGGCGTCCGATAGCGGACTCCATAGGCAAGAAATCGGCCAAATTGCACCAGTGTTTTTTCCTGGCAGCACGCTTGGCGTCACCAGGCCATGATTGCGGATGACAAGATTGCCTATGTTGGCTCAGTCGCTGCCTTTGGCAATGGGGACCATAAGGAGTGGCGCAAGACTATAAGGAGTTGAGATCCGTTGAAGGTTTGTGAATGTCGCCTACTGTTCAGCAGGGGGGCTAGGCAAACATATGAACGCTTTGCTACACCAAATTTTCATCATCCAGTCCCATGCCAGTCGCGACAATCATAGATCTGGGCCATGGAGCATGGCTTAACAGCATTGTCATTGTGCTGGCAGACTCGTCGCGCGAGGCTAACATCAACGATCGGTCTTTGCTTGGGGATCGCGACGCAGAGGAGCGATGACTCAGCTCGTCGCAATGCATATGCTGTGTGTTGCGCAGAACCACCAGTGTCAAAAAGCGTTTCGAACGGATGGGTCCCGCACCCTGATGGCAGACGTTTTGAAGCGTTCTAGGTGGGCATGACATCCTGGGGTGGACCGTTTCCTCGCAAGCGGCGCCCTTAGACGCTTTGCGCAAGATGACAGGTTGCAACCTTCGCACACCTGAGCTGCACTAATTGAGCGTCATCACAGCTCAGCTCAACGTGCGCAGTTTCTGTCAAGTTCTGGATTCTGCTGCTTCGGGCGCCGGCGATTGTGCCTTGCAGCTTTGCGGAACAGGCTGCTGGAGACTCTGCTGAAGCACCATCTGCAAGAAGGCTTCAGCAAGGTGAACACTTCGAGGCACTCAGATCCTTGCGTGAGGACAGGAGCTGCGTTTTTAAATCACATGGAAGCGTCTATTCCAAACCAAGTTGCGTACAGCTTTTGGAGGCAATGCTGAGTTATGGGGTGTAGGCTCGCGTGGGGCCCTTCTAGCAGTTGCAACACCTAGGCCCGGCCTTGCGCATAATATAATGTTGCACATTTCTATCATAACCGTGAAGGTAGTAGACGGGCTGAAAAGTTCCGACCTGCACTGGCCGGACTGTGTCCGGCGCCAAGTTGGTTTCCGGCGCTAACTTGGAGGTTTGTGGCCTCTCTTCTGGAAGTCGCACAGGCCGGTGGAGTCCCTCTGCGAACGGAAGTCGCAAGCTGCGCACTTGAGGCGAACGCGGAGGAGCTGAGGCAGACGATGGGCCGCTCTGCGCTGCGTGCGGTTGCTTTGAATGACCGGCTACGGTAATTAACGAACTTGGTCTGCAGTTAAATACAGATCGAATGGAAACTTACCACGAGGAAGGGTTATTGAGACGATTTACATTGAGCATCCACTGGTTGAGTAGCTATACAGTGAGTCAGTGCATTTGATTGACTTACGCCACTGCAAATTGCCCGGAGGCGGTGTAGGGCTGTAGGGCTGTAGGGGTGCTTTGCACGGCATTGGGCCCCGTTCACTGCCAAGAGTATTTTCTATGGTCTATGTTGCAACATGTCAAAATTCGACACTTTCGGTTTGGTTTTGGAGGGACAGCTTGAAGGAAAAGCCCAGCATCGGAGTCTGAGGCATCTCGTTTCCACAGGGCTCCATCTCGACTGATCGAGGACTGCGCAGTTGATGCATAGACGAGAGCAGGAGTCCAGTGGAGTCCAATGTGGAGTCCAGCAAGCAGTGCTTGTTTCTCCCTGGAGGCAGTCGCCAGCTTTTTGGAATGGAAGGTTTGCTGAATCACGCGCGCGGGCCTCGGCTTGAAACGGCGGGATAGGGCTGCGTGCTGCGGGAGCACGGAAGAATGAGTATGTTACACAAATCAAAGTTTCTATGATTCTGCTACATGTTTGTGGCGGCTTTTGAAAGGCACGTTGCCGGCAGTGCGCGATCCTGTGGCCTGGGCAACATGCGCACTATGTTTTTTGCCTGATTCACCCTGCAATCAGGCTTATTGTTATAGGCTGAGCCGGAGCGTGCTTGAAGGCTTGAAGTGCACTTTCGGTGCCAAACTTGTACAGGGCAGTATGGAATTGTTATTTTTGAGCACGGGAAAACAATGCCAGAAAGCCACACCGATGTGGAGTGACAGTTTGTGCGGGTCTTTCCTTTCGCAGGCCCACCCAAGATGCCGAGATTCCGTACCCGCGGTCACGCGTGGTGGCCGGAGGCGGGGAGCGGGTGCAGTCAGGCCCGCACGGAACTTCACGGAAGTTCAAACGAGGAGGGAAACTCGAATGAAGCTGCGGGGTTTCTAGTGCGAAAGCTGTTCGCTGTGTGAGGCCGGTCGCTTGGTCAGCTCGCAGTGTCGCAGGTGGTGGGGTGGACCACTTTGATTGGTTCAAAGTGCAGAATGCCAGCAGGCAGGAAGCGCCCAGCAGTGCCACGGTCAGAAGACCTGATTATTTGGAATGAGTAAAAACTGGCCACCTCAAGCGGGAATGTAGAAAAACATTGCGAGGGTTCTCAAGTAATGTCCCTGACCCAAGACTGTTTGGATGACCGGAACCAGGCCACCGCAGCTGAAGGGCCTTCTTTTCCCATGGTCAAGGACGGCCTCGACCGGTGAGAGAAGGTGGCGGGAGGACACATCACCCCTCCGAACGAGTACCGGTTGGTTTCTTCTTTTGTCATCGGCAAGATACGTGTGGAAGCGCGACTGTGAAAGAGATAACTTCTTTAGTTATGCTCTTCAGATCTTCAGATACTGACCATACTGTTTGCAAGCGGACGGGCAGGGCCGGATGCGCTCCACAAAGGTTTGACCCTTTGTTGGGGATTCCGAGCATTGCGTTGCGCTGCGGGCTGCCCTGTGCCTGATTCCCACTCGTCGGATGCGTGGCTTGTGCAACTTGGTCTTGGCACCAATTCTCATTGAACTTGAGCTCTGCTCCCGCAGTATCAAGTTGATTGCTCTATGCAGGATTTGCTGCGAAAGTTATCTCATCGCAACTAAGCTCTGTGCAGAGAGGTATGCGCATGTAATATAAGGTATCCTCGCGGAAGCAGCCTCGTCGCAAGAATCTCAAGTGTCATTGCAAGTATACTCTGTGCAAGATGCTTTGACTCCTTGCAAATATGTACTGTTGGCGTTCTGTGTCTTGGGGGTGCGCTGTTTGTTTGCCACAAGTATGTGTCCATACTTCTGCTGAATTTCCTTCGCAGTACCTTTGCGAAAACACGAAAACATCCAGAGGAGTCCAAATCGCGGTCAACCTATTTTTTTCCACACCTCACTTAAAGGGAAGTCACAGACACCAGACACAGCACAGATTTCTGCACTGGCCAAGGGAGCCAAGGCAGGCCACATTCTTGGTGAATTTTGAAGTGAGACTCGCCCAACATGAAAACCCTACGACTGATACCATGACACCAAGGCCCACTGTCTTTATTACAAGGTCAACATACAAGATCTATATTGCACCCAAGCGGAGAAACCAAGAGCACATAGTCATGCGTTCCAAACATCCATCTACCCATCCAACGGTTGATCCATCCCTGCGCCCAGCAAATTCAGTTCTCTCTTGCAGTCGCTAGCTCACGCCTGCGCACCGCTTTGGGTTTGGCAGCCATTTTCCACTGTTGAAGAACATCGCGCAGCGGTGCGCTTTCTGGAACAAACTTAGGGATGTTGGCTCAGTTCTTTACCCTGTTATGCGAGACGAAACATGGAGAGAGGGTAACATAATGTTGGACTTCCGTTTGTCGCCCAAGGGGCTTTAGAATGACGCGTGCGCTCGCTTCGAGAAAAACACTCACAGTTACTCTGCACATGTGTGGGCATGTGATCTTGGATATCCCTCACTTTGTGGAAAACACAGTTTCATGGCCGCACCCCGAACTCACATGTTCCCCCTCAATGCAACACCGCGCGAACATGGAAAACAAATGTTGCGAACCGCTGCGAACCCTGGTTTCGCGTAGCAAACAGCAAGTTGTCTCTCTCTCTCTCTCTCTCGCTCTCCCTCCCTCTCTTTGCGCATGGGCTTGCATGTGCGTCCCTATGTGCTTTCCGATATTTTTTCCCAGCAACCGTAATCGCGGTCACGTGGCAACAGCAGGCACATTTGGGGGATGCCGGCCATGACGCAGATTGCCCCTGACTCAGCGAACCTTCCAGCCACGTTGTCTCTTACGGCCCAGCTGTGGCCGCACCGAGGCCCAAATTTTTTCCAAGGAACTCAATTACGAGCAGGTGCCCGGATCTTGGAGACAATGTGGTCATTTTCAAGGGCTGAGCCCCACACCAGCTCCGCTGGCAGTCCGGCAGGACACTCAAAGTTCAAGCATCCCAGCCCATTCCGTTCGCCATATGTGAAGTTTGGATGTTGGAAGACACTGTGACTTGGGAGACCATCCAATGCAGATTCATGCAGAAGCAGGAAGTCAGCACGCACGCATGCAGTGCCCAGCATCACGCATCCCCAGCACCACCCGGGCAGCTGCAAGGAAACGCCGCTAGCATCTCCAGCATTCCCGCACCACCAAGTTTGCATCCGAGCATCTCCCGCATCATCAGCATCAATGCCATTCGCCCAGCATTTGCTACCACACGCACAGCGATGCCTCAAAATGCTACAAAACGGTGAGTGTACCGTGAACAAATAACCTTGCCGCGGGTGCCCTGGGTCCATCAGCCAGGGCATGGCGACACGGGTGATGAGGTCCACCAGTAGGCGACTGAACCTGCGTTTTCGCCGCCGTCGCGCATACTTCTGCGCAACCTCAATGACGCCGAACGAGCAGCCGAAGGCAACTAACGGTCGCTAAAGCTCGCTTGAGGGGACACCGCGCATCTGAACTCTAACGCCTCTGGCCCAAGCCGACAGCACAAGCCTGCGTAGATGGAAGGGGTTAAGAAGCTGTGTGTGTCTGCGTGTTTGTGCGCGGGCGGGGGTCGTACTGATGCAGGCAACTTGAGCTGAGTAGGAACCTTTGCTTTGCCTCCCGTTTCTTCATGTTCTCTTCCTTAGCTGGAGACGCCTGTAGGCTTCTGTGTGCAATCCCCACAGGCCTTTCAGAAATGTGTGCGCAAGACACGAGTAAGGACGTTGTTTTTAAGTCTAGCTGCTCGTATTTGTGTGGTGATGCTGCGGATGCTAAAGCGATGCCGGTGAATGAACAAGCGGTCCAGCGAGCCGAGCATCCCAAGCATTTGCGACCTGTCGTGTGAAATGATTTAGCCTACGAAAGGGGGGCGCCTGACACAAGGCAAGGTCCAGATACATGCCCTGAGGGTAATAGGTAAGGAGGAAGGCTGGCGTGTTGGCTTCCTCCTTCAGAATGACCTGCCGGGATCCGCCAAACCACAGCCAGATCATGCCCAGGTCCTTTGAGCAGATGCCTGGTTGGGCGCTCAGGTACGCCACCTGTAGGAGATGTCTCAAAATGGGATCTGCGTTTGGACGCTTCTATATTAAATGGAAGGGAGGTCTGAATCCAAACCCGTTCGTTTCTTGAAGGCTAAACGCACACGTATATGCGTGTGTGATGGTGTGCGTGATTGTGTGTGTGTGTGATTGCGTGCGCGATTGTGTCAGTGTGTGAGTGTGAGTGAGTGTGAGCTGGAGTGTGAGTGTGAGTGTGATTGTGATTGTGTGTGTGATTGTGCGGTTGTGTGTGTGTGTGTGTTTGTGTGTGTTTGTGTGTGTTTGTGTGTGTGAGTGATTGTGTGTGTGTGCGTGCGTGTCTGTGTGGGTTAGGGTTGGTTTAGGGCTGGTCTAGGGTTGGTTTAGCGTGGGTGAAGGGTTGTTTGTGCAGGGTTGGCTTAGGGTTGGTTTAGGGCTGTTTTAGGTTTGTTTTAGGGTGGGTGTTGGGTTCGTTGACAGTTGCTTTAGGGTTGGTTAAGGGTTGGTTTGCGTGGGGTTTAGGGTGGCTTGGGCTGGCTAGGATTGATTTAGGGTTTGTTTAGGGTCGAGTTGTCCTACGTGTTGGGATGCAAGTGCGAGGGCCTACCTCTTTGGAAGGAAACTGTATATATGGCACCCCGCCTTTCAGGGACCCCGCGCTGAGTCCATAGTTTGCAGTGTTTTCTACTTCATGTTTTTTTGCGTTGGGAAAGCAACGAAAAAGGCACATTTCCAAGGACATTCTGGAAGCTTCAGGCTCGACTTAAGCCAGCTTAGACCGATTCAAATTTAAATTGGGCCTGGTCCAAGATTCAAGTTTTGAGATTCCCTTCTCTAAATCGAGACACAAATTCAACCTTGCGCTGCGCGCGGCTGTTGTGCAGTTGTCCAAGTCCTGAGTATTCATTCAACCAATGTCAATCTAGGCCCATATCCAAGATTGCAGGCCAAACTTTTCTAGAGGATCTTGAAATCAGGCTCAACTGAAAATCAGGTGGTTTCAATCGGTTGCACTCGGGGGGCCTGGCTCAGGTTTGTGGACAAGACTTGCCTGGATAATATTGCGCTTTGAATCTTGAATTCAGGCTTGGATTCTTTCCTTATCAAATTCTGTCAAGGCTGGAGTTCTTTTGAAAGTCTAAGTTTCAGATCTGAACAAGTATTTCCGTATTGAGTCCCAACTAAATCCTATTCGATTTCACATGAACATTTAGAGAGCCGTTGTTGGTAGAGATGTGAATTGAGGGTGACAAACGCTACAAAACGCCGTGTTTTACGCTTTTTCTGACCATGGTAATGCTCGGCCCAGTGACAAGATACAAGCTTGGGACCCCTGAGTTCTTTCCTTATGAATTCTATTTCAGATGTTTATCCAACTCGAACAAGTTTTGCTAGTTTAAATTAAAACGGAATTGAGACAGAAATGCCCCAGTCAGCATTTCGGCTTAAGTAGAACTTGAGCGTTGACCGTTCTATGCCAGTGGCGCGCAAGATTTCAATAGAACACCGAAGTTGAAATTCAATCACTTTGACCTAGAGTTTCAGGGTCTAGTCCTAGTTTCGCCCTACCGAGTTGGGAGATCCTTGGTCCTAGCTTACTGAAATAGTTAGAAGGCATTGCGCCGGAAGCCCCTGATGAATTCTATGTTTTGTCAAGTTCTATGTAACCGCTGCCCTAGAATTTTAAGCAGGGACAAACCCAGTGATAATTTGCATGTTGAGTTGGAAAGTAAATATCGGCTATTCTGTTTCAAATCCAAATGTTAGGTACGCAGGACTTCCTTTCCAATAGAATGTATTACTTGGCATCCAAATACTATAAAAAGTATAGTTAAATAGTCTCTCCTAGTTTGGTCCCTGTTGAGTAGTGCTAGGTTGCTCCTACTTGAAATACTCAGGAAGTATAAAAGACGTAACAGAGGAAGCCTGCGTGAAATTTAAGTTACAAAAAGGATCAGGTGTGGTTCGTCCAGCCCTAGTTTGGTCCTCGTCCTACTTGAGAGATTTTGGTTCTAGTCTTGTTTGGCCCTAGCCCTGGTTGTGAGATCTTTCCTTCCAATCCTAGACGGGCAAATCGTGCACTGGAGGGGCAACAAATTTCGTGGGGGGGGGGGGGGGGCTAGCATATATGTATATCTATATATATATACATATTGGCATGTGCAAATATATACATATATACATACACATACATGACACACGTATTACACGCATTTATACAAATATCAGTACCGCTTCAAAAGTACTGTTGTTTACTTTATGTGGGAGCGTTCCATGCACATGGCGGTTGTTGCTTTTCTTGACAAATGATACGGGACGTCCACAAAAACGACACCCCAACACCTGAGAACGGGCATCCTAAAGTTGGAATGAGTACCATGTATGTTGCTTGGAAAAGCATCCGGCGTGGAGATGTGCTACAGTATCGAAATCTCCAGCGCACTCTTCGCAGCACTCCGAGGTCCTCCGGTTGGTGAGAAGCTCGTTTTCCTGTAGATATTTTGATTCGTCCAAAGACGTGTCAAGCCTTCCCAAACACTGGGGAGCGCCCCATCTCAGCCCCAAGCTGAGACTTGATGGCGGTGACAAGCGTGACCTCAAAAGCTCTGGGCAAGACGTGGACTACCAGCTTTAAGCTTGGAGTGCTAATGTCGTCAAACTCGGCTGTGAACCAGGATCACTTTTGCCTTGTGAAAGCGGCTCGGTGTGCAGACGTCTTAATAGATCCCTCTTGCTTTCCTTCGGCCGGTGCCACTGGATGGGATTTGTCTTTCTACGGTTTCTAAAATGATCCGAACTTAGGTGCGGTGACAGTTGCTTCTAGAGCAAGCCGTGGCTGCGCTGCGCAAGAGGTATGGGATGCTGACTCGGGGAATTTGGACTGTCGGCTGATGGGCCACATCGGCGTTGCGACAAGCTTAGTCTGTCTCTCAAGCTCTAGATGCCTCATAAAGCAGTCCCCTTACTAATTCCGTCGAGGAGGTGTTGTCAGCTACTTGGGTTTCACGTCTGGTATTTCCGGCGCTTTGCCTCGAAGCTGGGTTTAAAAGGCAGTGTTGGGGCACGACTGCAAATTTCTTGGAATTGATGGCCCGGCTTTTCCAGCGGAGTTTCAGCAACTGAAGTCAGCCCGAAATTCTCTTTGTGGTCACAGTGTTTTTGAAGCACGAGCGACTTTGGGAGTGAGACAGCCATTTACAACTCTACTTTCTGTGGCTGCTGCCTGCGTTTGTTGGGGTTACGGTTTCGCAACGGTTTCAGCAGTCATTCACAGCTGCCAGCTCGACAGCAATCGTCTTTTTGTGATTCACTGGCTGCACGCAGCTGGCCAGGCGACCAGGTTGTACTTAAGCTTCTGCCTGCGCCCGAACGCGTCGTCTCAACGTTTCAGTCGCGCCATCCAGTCTTTCTCGACAGAAACTACATGTCGCCACCTTCAGAGCCCATTCGTGGACTTGCTGAGGCGGACCTACCCAACCTTACCTGTCACAAGGCCGCGGCGTCTGCGTAGCGCGGCCACCCTTGCAGCCACCAAGACCAAGACTGGAGCAATGCGCAGTTTGGGTGTGGACGAGCTTCAGCCGGAGACTGGGACAAAGGGCGACAACGCCGAGACGAACCAAAGACGATCAAGTCCGTGCTGAAGATGTATATCGGTCAGCTTTGGGTTTAACATCCGTTGCATCCGCAGTGTGGCTGTTCAATCGTGAAAATGTGCGAGCAGCGCACTTGCAGCACGGTTTGTTGTTTCCTTTCGGGCTGTTTCCTTTCGGGCCCCAAACCGAAAACCCTCGAATCTATAGGCTTTCAGCCGTAGGCCCCTAGCTTAAAGCAATGGATGGTTCCCTTGTGCCTGTTGATGGATCTGCGATGCCGGTTGACGGTGCCGGAGCGGGCGGGCGGGCGGGCTCTGCTCACGCAACCGGCGGCGCGCGCGCAAGCAGCTAGCAGGAATGCCCAGCAGAACCGTACTCTAATAAATCAATTCCCTTCAGTCATACAATGCCGCCATATTCCTTGCAGCTATTAGGCCAGAAGCTGAAGCACTGCATCAAGCAGCTGTTGCGCACTTGCAAGAGGAAAACCGAGAGGAGCTCCGTGCCGACCAGAACCAGCTGCATGCGCATTACGCTGAGCGTGCGCAAGCCCAATCGCATAGGATTCATGAACACGAACAGCGAGCGAGCGAAGAGTTCAACGTTGAGTTGGCCTGAAGATAGGATAAGCCGATCATACGAGGAAAAGGCCCAGGCATTTCACGAAACGGAAATGAGATGCAAGACTAGTGAGTTCAAGCAGGCCATTGAGGTGACTCTAGCAGATGCGCAGCAGCTCCTTCAGGAGCAAGCTTGAAACGGACGATGTCGCGCGCGTGGAAGCCAGGACCGTTGATATGATGGCCGCCCAGAACAGGTTGCTGCAAGAGGAAAATGATCACCTCGACCAGCAGATCAAGTGTTACGACTTTTGCGAGGAAGGTGCGAAGCCCAAGGCGTCAGCGATACCCGAGAGGATTCGCCAGAGTTGTTGACCGAGGAAATGAAATGAGCTCGGGCGCAAAAGTCTCTTTTGGACCCGTTGTCCAATCCGTTTCAGTATGCCAAGGAAAAGCTGAGAGCATTTGTCACTGCCGATGGGTATGAGAACGAATACACTCCCAGCGTCACGCCCCCTGCCGAACGTGAAGCGACGAAGTCAAACGCTCTCGGTCCGCAGGGATCTGCGGCGGAGATTCCATCCGGTAGTGTTAGGTCCCCACCTAAGACAAGTGCTGCAGTGCCGCCCCTGCAGTTTTTTCAGGGGCCCATGCCAGCTGACCGTGCGCAGGGCGGAAAGCCGCCCGATGGCCCGCCGCACGGTGATGATGGGAACCGATGGTGAAGGTGATGACGATGACGGGGATGGCCCTGGCGCCAATCTTGGCCAAGAAGCCTTCGCCAAAATGCTGATGAAGTTAGTGAAAGGGCGCACGGATGACGAGAAACCCAGAACTCGCGAAAGCGAGACGTTGCGGTTCAAGGAGGTGCAAGCTCCTGAAACGTACCGTGAGTGGAAGACATCTGTCCGTGAAGATGTCCGCGCTGCATCCGATCGCCCAGGTGAGGCCTGGCCTTGGATCATGGAAGTGTGGTCGGATCGCGAGGATAAGAAGAAGCTGCTGGAGGAGCTTGGTGAGCCTGGTAACTTCGTGACTTGGGACACGCAGATACTCGCAGCGCTCACGCGCTCTGCGAAGGGCGATCTCGCCCAACGCATCCTGACAGCAAAGGAGGGAAGGCAGGTTTTGTTCATTTTTCATCAGTATTTCAAGACCAGTGAAGAAGCCGGCGACCTCTATTCCTTGGAGGATATGTTGCGTGTATCGCGACACGGCGAAGGTATCATTGATCTCAAGAGTTTCCTGAACGTATGACACTCTGTCATTGCTGGCATGAAGAGGCCACCCGAGGAGAAGGTGCTAAAGGACATCCTGCGGTATGACATTGACCTATAACCGATGCCGTGACGATGATCCCAACAAATCATACGATTTCCCGATGAACGGGACAAACTCCGCGACAGAACCGAGAGCGCGTGTCAAGGTCAACGCAAGCAAGGCTCCAACGCCTAAGGCTGGTGCTGCCGCTCCTGAGAAGAAGGATGACAAGAAGAAGAAGGGCGCACCCAACCCAAAGGATTCGGAGGAGAAGTGCTGCCTTGACTTCCAGAAGGGTTCGTGCACCAGGGGGGCAAATTGCCCTTACGCGCGCCGCCAGGGGCCGCAAGGTCGTTCTGCAGGCCAAGTTCCCAAAAGGCAATAAAGGTGAAAAGCCCGCGTGCGCTTTCTTTGCACAAGGGAAGTGTACCAGAGGCGACAAGTGCAAGTTTAGCCATGGTTCTACCGGCGGCAAGACTGCCGCTGCGGCATCGAGCAGTGAGGCCAATGCCAATCCGGCAAAGAAGCGTGCATATTCCCCGAAGCCTAAGCCAAAGGCTCAGGCTGCGGCAGCCTGCGCAAGGTACGCAATGTTCGCAAAAGCCGATCGATCCGGTTGGGGTGTCTTTTGACACCAGAGCACACGTGCGTGAGATTCCCGCCGAAGGCGAGGGATTCAAGCTTGAGCACGAGGACCGGCAGTGCACTGCAGCACATAGGACTGCCCAAGGCCTCCCAAAGGGACCAACAAGGCAGCGCGCAAGGTCGCTAGCCCGTTGCCAAGAGCGCGATGCGGAATCCGATTCCATCTCAAACCTGTCATGCGATGAGCGTTTGAGAATTGCCATGCCGCCTCACGATGTCCGCAAGGATGTCAAAGTGCCAAGGGCTGCCACACCTGCGCCAAAGGGCAAAGATGTGATTCCGGCAGCGAGCAGGATCTCATCAGCAAAGGTGAGGAGTGCGAGCAGAGCGGTTAGCAAGCAGGCGCCCCAGCCGATCCGTCTTGTGACTGCAAATGGAAATATCACAGCGTCCGAGATTGCTGACATCAACATAGATGCATTGTGTGAGCCAGCGCAGCCCTACATCCTTGAGAACTCTCCTGCAGTGCTTTCTTTGAACAGATGGCCAAGCCACTGGAGCAAGAAATGCATTGACCCCATTGTTCCTCTCAATTAGCATGATGGACATCCAGATTCAGGGGGGCTTTGGGAAAGGCACCTTGAAGATCCCTTGGAGCAAGGCTTTGTGAGAGTGTTGCCTGAAATCTGGACATCGATTTCCATCACCCGGAACTCGATCTGTTGCTCGCAGTCTACGTCGATGACTTCAAGCTCGCAGGATCATCCTTTTAGGCATGTTTTCGATGGCAGCACGCAACACGCAGGTGTTTGCTCCCAGCGCAGAACAGAAGACTACTGGGAACGTTGTATGATGAAGGAGGTTAACACCGTCGAGCACGGTATCGCCGATTTCCGCAGGTCGGGCGTCGACGCATATTGCGAACTTGCCAAGGTCAGCGTGTCGTCTCTAGGCAAAGTGGCGCTCCTTGTATTGGATCGAAGGTCGCGAGACCTGTCGAAGCTGAAGAAGAGCCCAAAAGCAGGCTCCAGTCAATAGCCGCCGCCGAGAAGATAGTATTCGCAGCCCGCACGGCTAGGTACGAGCTTCTAAGAGCCATGCAAAGTCTCGCTTCACGCGTAGCTGAATGGTCCACGGAGCGCGACAGTGCTCTTCATCGACTTGTGTCACACATACATTGCTCGAAAGACCTCAAAAAATGCGCGGATTTATCAGGGATAACTTTGCCGATTGCAGACTCTGGCTGTGCGCCGACGCGGACTGGGCTGGCGAATGCGATTCGCATACTACGGGGCACGCTATGATACTTGTAGGACCCAACACGTATTACCTCCGAAATGCTTTCAGCCGAAAGCAGACTGCCATCGCTACGAGCTCGACCGAGGCCAAGGTCATAGCTGCAAACCAGGCACTCAGGGCAGAAAGCCTCCCAACTTATTTGTCACTGTTTTGTCAGCTTAGCGTGTTTGGCAACGATGCTCAAAAGGCAGGCAAGGGACATGCCGGACGGGGTCGTCGCTCGCCTTGAACTCGACGATTCGCTACAGTGACGTAGATTCAGGGAATAGTATAGCTAACATCAAGGCTTTGAGTGTGCGTCTCAGCGATAAATGGAAAGTCAGGTTGATGGAGGACAATCGAGCCACGATTACCATTTTGCAGCAAGGACGCACTCAGAAAATGAGGCGTACAGATCGGACCCAACACATAAGCTTTAGGTGGCTCCAAAAGCAGGTCATGAACCGTCAATTCGAGCTTGTCAATGTTGATACTACCCGCCAGGCCGCTGACATTTTAACCAAAGCTTTTGACAGCGCCCCGGTTTGGCGCCGCGCGCTCGAGCTGATCCCCAACGCCAGGCAGGAGGATTAACCCAAAGGGGTCGACACTTTTTCAGCAAACCGTCATCACCCTCTCCGGCACCGCGGGCGACGACCTCCAGTGAACTGCGCTGGATCTTCCGTCAGAATGAAAAGACTGCGATCGATTCGATCAACTTCTCGAAGCAGGAAAGCCAAAAGCACTTGTCCGGGAATGCCGAGCGCCACGCTTCGGGCACAGTCCCTTACGCCGCTCGCGAGGGTGAGCAGTGGCGCAGTTCATACCGGCACGCCTGGTCGGATGACCAGTGGAGCCAATGGGGGAGGCAGCAGCAGTAGTGGCAGACAGTCGGCCTGGCAGCGGCGTTAAACGCACCTGTCATGGGTTTTGCATGCGTTCTTGATGTTGCCAGACCGTTACTTCCCTCTGTTGTGCTACTGATTGGCTGCTTTGTGAAAGGCCCCTTTAACACGCAGAGGGGGGTGAAGATGTATGTTGGTCAGTTTTGGGTTGAACATCCGCAGTGTGGCTGTTCAAGCGTGAAAATGTGCGAGCAGCGCACTTGGACGGTTGTTGTTTCCTTTTGGGCTCCAAACCGGTAACCCTCGAATCTATACGTGCGGCCGCCGTTGAGAACACGACCTATATCCTGCGAGACGTTTGCAAGCCGCGATTCAGCCAAAGCGTGGCGCGGTCAAGCAACCCCCGCGCAACGCGCAAAACTCACCTCTTTTAACACAGCGCTGGTTTAAACTAGTATGTGCGAGTATCTTGCCCGTACGCTCGCGCAAGTTTTGTACAAACTTTGCAATACTAAGCAATTGCAACCATTGCACTCGCAATGCTCGTGCACACTGCTCTCAAACTGCTCACTTCGAGCATCCACGTAGGGTCGTTTCTACAAACGATGCCTTCTGATGTCTCGAGTCGAGAATGATGCGCTTTGGCGGGAGAACTCGCCCGCGATGTGGCGAGAACAGCCGCGGTTTGTTGGCCTGGCCTGCGTTTGGCATCGTCAGATGCGGCGCGGGCGCGCCGTTGGATTGTCCAAGCGCACAACGATCGTGCAAACGAGGTTGTCCGAGCATTTTGCTCGAACAACGCTCGTACAAACTTTGTGGCGCTAAACAAGTATTGCTCGCACAATGCTCGTACGAACTGCACCTACAACAGCTGCTTGCAAGCAAAACCTATACTTTGCACGACTGCGTGACAAACTGCTTGCGCAACGCTCGTACAAACTCGCTTGTTTTAAACAGCTGTTTGTAAGCAAACCCATATTGGCTTGCCCACACCTGTGCGAGTGTCGCATCCTTGCGATTGGACAGGTCCTAGGTCCTAGCTAGTCACACGTGTGGACATGTTTGCAGTGCGCCCTTACCATGCTGACTAAGAAAGGTTCCATGCATTTGCAGGAAGATGACTTGAGGAGCCTTCAAGACATCTGGGTGTGCTGTTGCTAGTGGCCGGTCTCAACTGTCTTCTGAATGACTCAGAACAGGCCTTCTGACGCATGCAGTCGGCTTGTCCACCGCGATTGTGAAGGTTTTGGAAGCTCCAAAGAAGCCTCTCCGTTGCGGCTTGTTCATGGTCAGGCACGGCTAACCAAAGCCCGTTTCAGGATAGACTTACATCTGACGGTTTAATGTGGTAACCTTTTCGCAATGCACGGCGGGTTGCTCGGCGCGCCCCCGCAAGCGCAGGCGGCCACAAAAACACAGTTTGCCGCCTTGTGCTCCGAACTCATGTTTCACTGGCGCGGGATTATTGGCCCTCAACGGAATTAGCAGGTTCGCTGGGCAAGGGATGGCTGACCCAGTGCGCATTTGTGGGACCCCAGGATTCTAGTATCTTCGGGGCCCCGCTCACTGAATGAATGTTGCACATAGACTGTTTTTTCAATTGAGGTCACTACCGTGGCTGTGTGCCCCACCAACTCCGAGTTGCTGGCCACCGGCGGAGAGGCCGTGTGGCTCGCCGCTCGCGGCCTTTGCGAACCGTGCGGAAGTTAGAAGAATGAAACTTAATCGACTCTTTGGTGTCCACCGCGAACATTCACAGAGATGTGAGAGGTGCCCAAGTTGGCCATTCCTGTAATTGCCCCAAGCGGGTTGCGGCGCAGCCCGTGGGCCCAGGCGCACCTGAAAATAGTCAAGCCCACACGCCTTGAAGAACTTTGTTGGTAAAACAGAAGGTTGTCGGGTTTTGGGTGCTGCTCATATGGATGCGTCTGGCAATTGCAATTGAGACCCCCCAAACGGGAGTCTTCTGGTTTAGACTTTGCTCGGAACATCACCCAAAAACTGGTCCTATCCCCATTGTGGAATTGAATATGAAACAAACCGTGGGTCCAACTAGTTATGACACATGCCCGCCTTCGAAAGAAGCTGTGTAGCGGCTGGACCATCGCAATTGAACGGTTTAATTCTATCAGCCATAAAACCTGGGGTTCCAGCATTGTTTTTCCACACCTGAACAAGGTGGGAAAGAAATAGACCTTCCCCCATGATGATTCTCCTCGAGTCTTGGACACCAGGCTTTTGCTGGGCTTACTCAAATGTGGGATGGTTGGAGGCATATGCATTGTTTCGATACGGGAAAGCACGTCCCCCAAGTTCTAGAACCGCTCAAAACCATGCAAGCCGAACACGAGGAAGAACGTGCTAACAAGCGATGCAAGATGGAGGCACGGAAGAAAACAGCCAGCCGACACAGCTGAGCGTTTTACTTTGACCATTACGGTTCTGACGCGTGGCAGCGCACGCCGTCCTGCCCGAGAAACACATTGTGGATATCGAGCTGGTCATCGCGTCGCGAAATTCAAAGTTCGCTAATTACGCGCGCCTGAGGGCTTAAGTGCCTTAGGAGGGGCGCCAACCTGTGTTCATGTAAGGGGCACGTGTCAGGGGGCCTACCCCAGGCCTTGCAAAACCCCAGCTCTGAAGACTGTTGTGCGCACTGGCCCAGACGCTTGCTAGACGGAAGGGAAGGCTTTCGAACAGCTAGCTTACACACACCTGGAGTGCTCAAACCTGACAGAGCCCCAGTTATGGCCAGCGCAAGTTGTTGCGTGCTTAGCTTTGGTGTGCTTCAGGCAAACCGGCCATAAAACTTGGGCCAACATGGCCACCCGGTCAAACAGGGTGCATGTTTGTGTGTTTGTGTGCGTGCGCGTGCTAGGCGAGTGGGTGGGTGAGTGGGTGGGTGGGCAGGGTTTTTTGTTTGTTTGTTTGTTTGGCTGGTTGTTTGCTTATACTTTTTGGTATTCATTTGTGTTTCTGTGCGCGTGTGTGTGTGTGTGCACCTGGGCCCGCCGCAAGCACGGTGTGTGTGTGTGTGTGTATGTGTGTGTGCCCTTTCTTTCGTTATATTTTTCGGTCATCCGTTTTTACTTTTCCGTGCCCCTTTTTCTTGTCAAACCCTTTTGGCGTTCTTTCTTGCTGTGTTTATGTTTCCTTGTTTTTCCTGTTTTTCTTTCTTGCTTTATTTCTTTCCTTCTTCCCTTCTTCCCTCCTTTCTTTCTTTCTTTCTTTCTTTCTTTCTTTCTTTCTTTCTTTCTTTCTTTCTTTCTTTACTTCTTTACTTCTTTACTTCTTTACTTCTTTCTTTCTTTCTTTACTTCTTTACTTCTTTCTTTCTTTCTTTTCTTCTTTACTTCTTTCTTTCTGTCCTTCTTTCTTTCTTTCTTTCTTTCTTTCTTTCTTTCTTTACTTCTTCCTTTCTTTCTTCCTTTCTTCCTTGCTTTCTGTCTGTTTTTTCTGTCCTTCTTTTTTCTTGTTTAATACATTGGCCTTTTATATGTTTCCTTCTTTCGCCCTTTCTTTCTTTTCTTTCGTTAGTTTTAAAACACCCTTTGTTTCTTGCTTTCTTTTTCTTTCTTTCGTCCTTTTCTTCCTTCTTGCTTTTTTCGCTCTTTTCTTTTTAAACTCTTTCTGTTTCTTTCTTGTTCTTTCTTTTTGTTCTTTCTTTCTTCCTTCCTTTCTTTCTTTCTTTCTTTCTTTCTTTCTTTCTTTTTTGTTTCCCTTTCTCTCTCTCTATGTGTGTGTGTGTGCAGAGGAAGGGTCAACTCAGAAAGCGACTAGGCGGAGTCCACAAGTAATCATGCAGAGGGGCAGGACATTCGATTTGTTGTGCCAAGATTCATCGGGATCTTGGAGTGGCTGGGGCAGTCAGGCTGTGGGAGACGGTCGGAGGGCATGACTCGCTTGGCAGGACCACACCGTGCGGCTGTGGGATCTTCGGGACGCGCGTGCCTCAAAGCTTGGGTTTCAGGGCGGCGGGGCCTGATGACACAATAATCGATAGAACTGCTCCCACCCACCGAGTGTTTTGTGCAAACCAACAGCCGCCCGCCTAGCAGGAGAGGACCGTTCCTTTTCCTTGACGGGCATACTACACGACTGTCCGCTGGAAGTCAGTTGCTGAGGGCACGGATCCAGCACTTTCACTTTTCAGCTTTCAAACACACATTTCCAAATTCTGAACTTCTTCCGCTTTCAACAAAAAGACGCTCCTTAGCGGTGGCTGCCTTTGACGCTTCGCAGAGCGAGTGCGAGATCTATAGGAAGCTGCGTTCGCTCAGATCGAGCCAAGCTCCCAGCTGGCGCGTATGAGCAGGGAGAAGGCCAGCCGAGCCGGGAGCGAAGGAGGGTTTGCGCAAGTTTGCGGTGTCCTCTTGTTTTCCTTCCAAAGTCGGCTTTACTGGAGCAACGTTTTGTCACGTGAGGGGCTGTGAAAAAACTGTAGTCTAGGTTTGGTATTCGGAGGTTCCTCTTGTCCAAAGCCGGCGCTGCAAAAAGTTGAGCAGCGAAGCTTGTTGGGTAGCAAAGTGACCAGACTTGGTAGCTGAACAACAACGATAATGTTGCGCGCGTGCGTCGTTTTTGTTACCAAAGTGCGCTTCGCCCGGTGCAATTGTAGTGAGATGCTGCGATTTTGGAGCTGGGGCCGCCAAAGTGTCCTTCGCATGCCACACTTGTATTGAAAAGATGCGACTTTTTCAATGTTAAAAGTATTGAAAGCAGAAAACACCGCAAAACAACACACTACCGGCAAATAGATGGCGCAATTCCGACGTATATTTTTAAGGTAGATGGCGCGAAAGCAAAAAATGTCCACCGTTCTGTTGGCACAATTCTGTAATTATCCGGCAAATTGTGCCGGCGAATTGTGCCATCTATCAGCTCCAAAAACGGCGGGGGGGCAAAACATGTGTATTGTTTTGCCAAAATGTCCGCCGACCCCTTTTGGCTCTTCCGTGAGTGGATCGGAGTGAAGCGGGGTGGGAGTGGCGTGGCGTTGAGTGGAGTGGAGTGGGAGAGTGGAGCGGGATGGAGTGGGGTGGAGCGGAGCGGAGTGGAGTGGAGTGGAGTGGAGCGGAGTGGAGTGGAGTGGAGTGGAGTGGAGTGGAGTGGAGTGTAGGGGTGGGTGGGAGGGGGTTGCGCGGTGTTTTCTTTTTTACTGGCTCAGTTCATCCCAAACTTTTTTGATTATGACTCACTCCAGTGTGACAAAACAGACCTACTCCGACCTAACACTTAACTAGACCCCGATTATCCCGAAAGCGTTTTATGGCAGATGGTAGTAGCCACTCTTAAAAGATTGATCTTTCTATTCATGGCTGAAATGAACAGCTACCCACAAGTGAGCGGTTGCATGTTTAGTGTCCAGCCCCCTCGCAAGCGACAACCGAAACATGACCCCCTTGCTCCAAGACTGGGTTCTCAAAAAAAGGTATCCAACAACTTCTCAAAGTTGCCAGCCCCCTTGCCAGCTGACAAAAGGTTAAAAGGGGGTATCGGTTAGCAGTGTTTCGGACACTGGTCAACTGTTGGAAACATTCGCCCGCAAACCTTGGAAGTTCGAGAGCTGCAGTCAAGCATGAGTCGAGAGATCCACACATGTTGCCCGGTGAAGGCCTGAGCGCTTTTTCCTTCCCCGCTGTTGCGGCGCGACTGTCTTGCGCTGGCTTGCGGCGCGCGTGCATCACACGCACGCGTAAGCATCCCCACAGCACACCCCAAACTGGCACTCAAAAGGCTCCTAGTCCTCAGGCTGACAGGCAGAGCAGGCGCAATCTGCCAACCATCGTGCAGCGAGATCCAACTTCTCTTCGGCTGACTTCAGCTTTACCAGGCGCAAGGGAGCTGGTGCGCCCTTCAGTATGCGCACTGACCTGGAAATGCCTAGCAACCAACAAGCTAGCAGCTGTAGCAGGTGCCACCACGCACTGCGCCCTTGCCTGAACGGTTCATTCTCAAATTCCTGCGTGTTCTGTGTTTGGCATTGCCGCGCATCGCAAAACCCGGCCAAATGGACACGCTGACCTGGCAAAAAAACGGCAACCCCTGCACAAACTCAGCCCTGCTCACCTATTGATCCGTCTGCAGAACCTGCAGGCGACCAATTGCAAACAACAGTGCGTGGATGACATCTCTGGATCAGCGCTGACTTTGTCAGCCCTCCCCCCTGCGCAGACCTCGCCGACACGCCGGCAGCTCACGTCACATCGATCAAAGCCGGACAGCGCTCGGAAGCGGACTTCAGCTTCAGCCTTCCCCGGACAAAAGGCGCAGCCGCGTGCCCCGGCTGCTCCAAAACGGCGCAGCTGCGCCACAAACACATCTGACAAAGACGCAGTTATGGCAAAAGTACTCGCTTGCAAGGACTCTGTGTGTAGGTTGCGTTGCTCCATGCTTCACGTTTTGCAACACGCACTGTGCATCCACAGCTCTTCTTCTGCGAGAAAGATACGGGGGCGTGCAAAACCACAACTCAAGCAAACAAATCAAGCCTGCAACTGAGCTACAACCAACCCATGCCAAGCATGCAGGTGCCATGTTGCAGCACGAGCTTCAAACACAACCCTGCAGCAAACATCGAGCGCGTAGCAAAAAACCAGCCGCCCGGCCGCTTCATGCAAACCTCGCAGGTTGTCTGTCTGTCTGTCTGCCTCTGCGTCTGTTTGAGATTTCGATCCAACATTTCGCTCAAATCCCAACGGCTCGGCGCAATACGGAGCAGAAGTTGGCCTCGAATCCCAACAACGTGCCGCATAATTTTGGACCTTGTTTGCTGCGGGGGCCCCTCCCCTAAAAAATGGTAAAAAGGGGGGGCCCGGGAAATGACCTGTTGATGGTTGCCTGTTCTGGTTTTTATGTTCATCTCAAATCTGTGTTCCCCCTTATTCGTTTTTAAAAGATTGTTTTTAGGGAGCTTATTTATCGTTTTCGTTAAGGTAATCATTTGGGTAAATTGTCACCTTGTTCATTGTTGGGCTGGGGGCCGACATTTTTTTCATTTGAAAGAGTTAGCCCTTTTAGTAGTTATCAAGTTCTGGGGTGTTGGTGGTGTATTTGTTTTGTTAGTGTTTTTCTCACTAATTTTCATTTATAGGTTAAAAGTTCAGTATAATTATAACATATAAGATTTTACATGTTATTATTATATTATGATTATAATTTCAGTTCAGGATAATAATCTAATTGGTTTGTCTTACTTCTTTCATACATCATTTTAAAAATAATATTAACATCTCTCACTGTATTCTGAACATTAAACTTTTTACTTTCAATAAATAATTTGATATTTTCTTTAACATCTTCTCCTTTCTCTTGACTATAACCCAACATCCATAATATATCATCAATCATTTCATATTTTCTTACTGATTTTAAGAAACTGTTTAACACAATCGTAAGGTGGTATTTTATTTACAGTTAGAAATATTAAAATATCATCTTCTACATTTCTATTATGTATTCTTTTTATTCCCAACAGACATTTGATTAAAAATTGATTATCTCTCCATGTTTTACAATTTTTACATATGTCTTCTTCACCATCCATTGAATAATTAATAATATTATTCACTATTTCATTAGGTAAACTCAATTTATACAATTCCATATTTTCTTTTTTGAAGTGACAACAATCATAGCATTTTTTATTGATATAATTATTGATTCCATCACCGTTCATTTTTCTCTTAATATATAAGGTAATATTTCTTTAAGTAGTTTTGGCTAGGGGTTGCTGGTCGGCTGGTCTGGGTTTCAGGTTTAATTTAAATGTCTTAACCTTCTTGTTAGATTATAAAACAATGTTTAATCATATTATAATTAAATATTATGATTAAGCCATGAAATCATTGTTTCTGTTATGTATAAATTTCAAATGTAATATGTTCTATAGTAATGATTTCGTCTCGTTTCATAGTCTGTTTTATTTCTTCAACTATTTTTTCAATATAAAATTGTAATGACGCTCTACTTGTTATCTTGTTCTGTTTGCTTGACGCATAATAACTACAGTTGCAAATATTATTCCTACACATAATTTTCGAACTAATTTCTATTCCAACCTTTATTTCTTCATCATACTTCATCATTCTTAATAATTCTTTTGGTGGTTTCAACGCATATGAAAGTGCTTTATCACCTTTCAAACATATATTGCTAATCAACACATAATATCTACTTTCTCCTTCTCGTTCAAAAATAGACGGTTTCCATTTCCTTTGTAAGACCCTTAATGCTTTACACTGTTTTAGTCTTTGCCACCCTTCATTGCCATTCATATAAGAAGCGATGTTTAACAATGCTTCCATAGGTAAGCTAGCACAATTCTCAACCATAAAATTATTCTCTGACATTTTACCCTCACTCATTTTTCTCTTTATATATAAGGTTTTTTCTCTTTAAGTAGTTTTGGCTAGGGGTTGCTGGTCGGCTGGTCTGGGTTTCAGGTTTAATTTAAATGTCTTAACCTTCTTGTTAGATTATAAAACAATGTTTAATCATATTATAAGATAATAATATTAATAAACAAAAGTTAATTTGACCCGTATTCAATCTCACCAGCGATACAACCACTATAGCAACTCATACTATTCTCGCAACAATAATGCTCGTATCCTTTTATTAATTGGTCTGTGTAAATTTCAATTAATTCGCTAAGAATATATCTCATATAATAATTGTTATTTCTATATGACCACCAACTGTTTAGGTTTGGAAAGCTAAACCCACAACGTTTAATTGTTTTTAAATCTTCAATGTTAAGACAATGTCTTAAAACTAAACAAACTTCATATTCATTATTTTTACAGTATGATTTTAATGCTTGATAATACATTTTTCTATTTTTAAACCGTTCTTTAACTTCTTGTATATCAAATACTCTGTCAATGTTTTTCTGTAATGTTTTAAACTAAAATGGTATCCTGTTAGTTGTGTAATTTCATTATTTTGCATTTGTTTAATAATGTTTAATTGAAGTTCTGCTTTTTCCAGTCCTTCTTCAGGAATGTCTTTATTTCTCTTAAAATTTTCTTCTTCATCCATCAAATACCAACAATCAAAACATGTTTCTCTAATATATCCTCCTATAAGATTACACACATCAACAGGTAAAATATTAGCTAGTGCCACGACAGACTTACATTTATTTTTACAAGGACAATTATCATAATTAAACAGTGTCATTTTTTCTCTTACTATATTATATCCATTTTTCTTTAAGTAGCTTGTATTTTATGTTAAGGGGTGGGGGTTTATATTGAAAAAATATTTTCTAACAATTTAATATAATGGCGAGATTAACAAAAGACCAAATAATCAGCAA